CAGAATTGCGGAAATTACAGAGGTATAAAGATATTGTCCTATACTATGAAGATTTGGGAGAAAATCGTAGAAAGTAGGATTAGCAGGAATCTGAGGTTGGAGAGGAACAGTTTGGCGTTTTTCCGGGAAGGAATACGACTGATGGAAAGGCAGAGGGAAATGCGGGAAGATTTGCATATGGTGTTCATAGATCTAGAAAAGGCGTATGATAGGGTACCAAGGCAAGAATTATGTTGCCTTGGTACCCTATCAGTTACGGTACAAGGCAAGTTCGTTACTGTTGGTTTGCATCAGAGATCGGCCCTTAGCCCTTATTCATTTGACCTGATAATGGACGCGTTGCTGTGTGACGTGAAGTGTGAAGCTCCGTGGAGTATGCTGTTTACGGATGATAGTGCTGAGTAAACTGTCCCAAACCAAGGCTGAGAAGAAACTGAAAGATTGGAGGAGTTTTGGAAGAGAGGGGCATGAATATTAGCAGAACTAAAACAGCTTATATGACTCTGAATGGTATAGATGAGTGTAATATTAAAATCCAAAATGTGCCGCTTCCTTTTGTTCTGAGTTTTAAATAACTTGGAACATTTGTCGAGATGGGAGGAGGATTGAACTCGGAGGTACAGCATAGAATTCAATGTGGATGGATGAACTGAAGGAAGCTGAGTGGTGTGTTATGCGACAAGAAAGTTAGCTGCAATCTGAAAGGAAAATTGTATAAATCAGTTGTTAGACCCGCAATGTTATATGGAGCGGAGAAAAAGGCAATAACAAGACCCCAAAACAGATGGAAGTGGCAGAGATGAGAATGTTGAGATGGATGTGTGGAGTGTCAAAGAAGGATAGGGTAAGGAATGATCTTATTAGAGGTTCTGTCAAGATGGGCCCCTTGAGCAAAAAGATGCAAGAATGTAGGTTGAGGAGGTTTGGCCACATAGAAGAAGCGACAAGTATGTTGGAAAGAAGAACGAAAAACTGGTAATAAAAGGAAAGAGGAAGACCAAAGATGCGTTGGAAAGATAAGGCGGAAGACTTGAACCAGAGGGAACTTAAAAAAGAAGCCCTTGATAGGGAGAAATGGAAAAAACGTATTAGAGAAGGAAACGTCGACCCCATATAAACATGGGAAAAGGCGAAGATAAAATAGTAGTAGTAATCCTCAAGTATAAGCTAAAACAGTGAAAATCGTGGTCATCATCATCATCTATAGTATTTAATTAGAACGCATTTTTTTTTAATTTTATACTTTTTCAAACAGTTTTCAATAGCTATTTTTAATTTATGGACGTTTAAGGATACATGAAAATTTTTAATTTCATGAGACAGAAAAAATATTGGGCTGGAAAAGATTGGACAGCTATAGACAAAAAGTGAAATTATTCAGTCAATTCCTCTAGTTGTTATTAACCAATAACAACAAGTATAATATATAAATAAATAAATATATATATATATATATATATATACTGTATACACACACAGTAGTTAAATTCAAATCAACACACTAGCTTTAAAATATTTTATTCATCTCAAAATTGTATTTACAATTTTCAAATAATATCAATAATTTTGATTATTACATATCAAAAAAAAATTCACATATATTAAACCTAATTTATTAATTTAAATATAATTTTATGTTAAATATTATTCTTAATTCATTGATAGACAATCTTTTTATGTATAGAAAAATATTATTCAATAATAATCTTAAAAAGTGATTGTACAAATGATTTAAAAATTTGGACAAACGAGAAATTTGATTTTTGAATTAATACAATATATGAATAATGAATAAGTCAAAAATTTATCTGAATTATTAATAAATAATTTTCACCAGTGTAAAAAACATCAATTATTCTTAATTTTTTTATAATTTATTAAAATAAAATTATTTTAAATGCATCTGACCTGAAAAGCCAGTCTTAATCTAAAAGCAAGGGCAAAAAGCAAATGGAGAAAAGAATGAAGATGCTCTCTGAGAATATCTAAATATACTGAATACTCTTCATTTTTTTTAATTAAAAATTGCACAGTACATTCCAAAAACGTTTTTACATCTCTTGAAAAGGTGTGATATTCAAGATTATTCATAATCTGAAAATAGCCAATGAAGTTGAATGTAAAGAAATAGAATTTGCCTATCACTTCAGATCACTAGGAATCTGGGAAAGTTGTGAAGAAATTGTCATAACTATTCCATTACAAGAATTAATCTTTATTGATCACCTTGTATTATACCTGAGATATTATACAAGGTGTAAAAAATAGTTTTAGGACTCTTGAATGTTTTGGATACAACACACAATAACTGAAGAGCACAGCAACATCTCTTGCTATGAATGACAAAGGAAGTATAAATTATTTTCCTCTGTTTCTGATGCTTCGTCTTCAATGTCTGCGACGTCTGATCTGTCTGTTTTTTAGTTTTCCTGCTAATAGGACAATGCTCAAATCTTCAATTACTCAATTTGAAGAAAACAGATTTGAAAAACTACTTTTTATTACATTCTAAAAAACTTAAAAACATTTTTCTAAATAAAAATATGTTGAAACAATGTTATATAAATTTTATAACTTTTTCATTAAATCCTTGTTATCTGTATTGTTTAAGTACAATTAAGAGACCATCATGTAGCTGCTTATTTATTAATTTTGTTTTATCCCCTCTGTTTAGAAGTATAGATAAATATTAATTCATAATTCTGAATATATTAAAAGATAAAAAGTGTTGCTCGTTTATAGTGAATACATTATGATGTACAAAACATTAATTAAAATGTGAAAATCATAGATTAAACAGAGAACACATAATAGAAAATTTTAATAATAATTTAAATTCATTTCTAGAAATGATTTTGATGTTAATGAAATGAAAACTTACAGCTTAAGATTTACGACAATGTAAATATTTTGTGTATGGAAAGAGATTTAGGAGTATGAAAGTATCTTGTATGAAAGAGCAAGTTGTCCCCAAAGTCAACAACTGCCTATAATAATACTAAATTAGCCATAATTTTTGCTAGTTTTTCACGTTTCGCCAATTTTGTGTATTGTACATACTGTACCTTATTAATATATAATTTATTATATAAAAGAATGTGTAAAATAGGACAGAAATTACTCCCTGTAGTTATGTCTAAGATTATTTCCCTGAATAAGATTTTTTCCTTGATTGTTAAAGCCAAAACACCAGTATAATATGTCCTAATAATAGGCTAAGTCCTCGTAGACAATATATAACAAATAGAAAATAAGGACATAGAGGCATATAAATTAATCATATTTTTAATTTATTTCATTTAAAATATATGCTCTCCACATCAAATTAGTAGTAATTGCCCCTATACATCATACTTTTCCTGTCAGCAATAGAGTCATGCTGGTTATCTAAGTAACACTTTTCAGGGGAAAATTTTTGAATGGATATAACATGACTTTTTGTTTTTACCAGAAGTTTGTACATAGTTAATAAGGGCCTCCTGCTCATAAGCTTTCCATATCTGGTCTCAGATTTCATCTACCTAACTCCATTCTCAAGATTAAGGATTCACAGATGGACAGATGACAGTGGGAACTTATAGGTCTACATTTTTTCAAATTGCAGCCGAATAATGCAGAATTTCTTTTAATGATTTTGCTAAGATATAGTTGATTTATTAGTTTTCTCTATAGCTGCATTTTATGTCAATATCTTTGATTATCTTTTCTGTTGTCTTTCTTGTGGGCACTAGAGAACCTTTTTAATTATACCCACCATGAGTTTGGCTAGTCCTACAATGGAGCAACCATTTAATGATGGACAGAATCCAACATGTTGAACAGACTGTCCATGAAAAATTCTTGAGTTACCTGATCTGAATTTGAACTTAGCTCTCCTAGAACAGCAGTTTGCCACTTTTTCTACCCAGTGATTATTGAAAAAACTTTACTAAGTGAAGATATTCAGTTATAGATGATAAATTATTCTCAAAACTTTCATTAAAAAATCTCTATTTTAATATATAAGGTGATAGTGTATATATATTGTAAGTGGTATATATTATTACTGAAATAGCCTTTATTTGATGAAATAGCCATTATTTCTTCATAATTCAGCTATTGTAATATGATCATCCCAACTTATTGCTTTACTACTTATAGCACTAGATAAAATATTAAAAAAACAATTTAATGAATCAATTCAAGAAGAATACTTTGGATAATATGTTTAAATCCCTCTTTCCAACCTTCATGCTAACAATACCAATGAATGGTTGTTGCCATTATGTAATCTAGGATAACAAATCCCAACTAACAAGTTGATCTTTTATAAGATACCAACCTTCTCAGCTGATGTAAAAACTTTTTGAATGAACTTATACATCAAATGACAACTCTGATCAACTTAGAACTTATCACAAGTTCTAAAGAATGATTATTATTTATCATCAGTGTTACAAATGATATAAAAAGCATTATTTAAAATCTATTTTACATAATATGTTTCATAATACTAATCTTATTTTATAATACAATGCAGGTAAATTTCTTTTTTAAGAAAACTCATTTCTATAATACAATACCACTTAATAAATCCATTTATCCTGTTGTTANTAAATGCATCTGACCTGAAAAGCCAGTCTTAATCTAAAAGCAAGGGCAAAAAGCAAATGGAGAAAAGAATGAAGATGCTCTCTGAGAATATCTAAATATACTGAATACTCTTCATTTTTTTTAATTAAAAATTGCACAGTACATTCCAAAAACGTTTTTACATCTCTTGAAAAGGTGTGATATTCAAGATTATTCATAATCTGAAAATAGCCAATGAAGTTGAATGTAAAGAAATAGAATTTACCTATCACTTCAGATCACTACGAATCTGTTTGGGAAAGTTGTGAAGAAATTTTCATAACTATTCCATTACAAGAATTAATCTTTATTGATCACCTTGTATTATACCTGAGATATTATACAGGGTGTAAAAAATAGTTTTAGGACTCTTGAATGTTTTGGATACAACACACAATAACTGAAAAGTACAGCAACATCTCTTGCTATGAATGACAAAGGAAGTATAAACTATTTTCATCTGTTTCTGATGCTTCGTCTTCAACATCTGCGACGTTTGATCTGTCTGTTTTTTAGTTTGCCTGCTAATAGGACAATGCTCAAATCTTCAATTACTCAATTTGAAGAAAACAGATTTGAAAAACTACTTTTTATTACATTCTAAAAAACTTAAAAACATTTTTCTAAATAAAAATATGTTGAAACAATGTTATATAAATTTTATAACTTTTTCATTAAATCCTTGTTATCTGTATTGTTTAAGTACAATTAAGAGACCATCATGTAGCTGCTTATTTATTAATTTTGTTTTATCCCCTCTGTTTAAAAGTATAGATAAATATTAATTCATAATTCTGAATATATTAAAAGATAAAAAGTNACGAACTTCTGAACCTCGCAGTTCGGATCTGATTTTATACGCTCTCCTATGTAAACTTTTTACGATCGGATCTTACGATTCGAAACTCGGGGAACTATTCTCACGGAATAGGCCGATTAAGTGGTACTAACGAATTAGTGTACCCCCGGCTAATCTCACAAGTGGTTTTCAGGAGTGGGGTCTAGAACTTAAAAATCCCCAGTGTACTCTCATCCGTAATATACTTTCACACTGGTAGCAGCAGTGGGTTTTTTTTTTGAACTAAAAACATCCGTAATACACTCTCACAAGCGGATCTGATTCGGATTGAGAGACAACTAGTTGATAAGTTAAAATAAGATAAATTTTAAGTTACCTATAAGTTAAAATGGATAGAGATAGAGAAGAACCTCCGCGAGCGGCGTTAGCTGGCAATCCAATAACGTTAGGAGGATTAGGTGGAATGATTCCCCTCCTACCGGTCTTCTCAGGGGACGCGAAAGACCCAAAAGTATCAGAATTTTTTGATACGTTAGCGGATGTGACTAGAGTAGCAGCATGGACGAAGGCGCAGATGCTAGCTGTAACTAAATTAAAATTGACTGGCATTGCCCGGGAATTCGTACGTAAGGATCGGCGAGTAAAGGACGTAGAGGATTATGAAGAATTTAAGAAAATAATGATAGAGCGTTTTGAGAAGGTCCCTTATCCATATCGAATCCAGAAATTCTACGCGTGCGTCCAGGCCAGAGATGAGGACGTACAGACATACGCCGTACGACTCCAGGCCCTAGCCGAGGAGGTTGAGATTGAACACGAAGGCGCGAACGAAGCCGAAATAGAAGTCATAAAACGAGTAAAAGAAAAGGAACTGGACGAGAGGTTGAAAGTCCAATTTATGAATGGTGTAGACCTCCGGATAAGAAAAAGGATTATGTCCAGAGAACCCGAGACCTTTGATCAAGCATTGAAAATAGCAATAAATGAGGAGAATATCGANACCTTCATGCTAACAATACCAATGAATGGTTGTTGCCATTATGTAATCTAGGATAACAAATCCCAACTAACAAGTTGATCTTTTATAAGATACCAACCTTCTCAGCTGATGTAAAAACTTTTTGAATGAACTTATACATCAAATGACAACTCTGATCAACTTAGAACTTATCACAAGTTCTAAAGAATGATTATTATTTATCATCAGTGTTACAAATGATATAAAAAGCATTATTTAAAATCTATTTTACATAATATGTTTCATAATACTAATCTTATTTTATAATACAATGCAGGTAAATTTCTTTTTTAAGAAAACTCATTTCTATAATACAATACCACTTAATAAATCCATTTATCCTGTTGTTATATATAAATAATTTATAACTTTTTATTTGAATAAATTTGCTTTTTAGCAATTATAACTAAAAATGTTTTTAAAAATTATTAAGTGTAATAAAATTGTTAAAAATACTTTAATTTATGAAATATTAAAAATACTAAATAGAATGAATTCTGTTTATATAAAATTTGTTGATATAGATTTATATATTAGGATACTTTGTATCAAAATACTTTTAGTATTTAAAAATGGAATATAAAAATAGCATTTAAGAAATATTCTGTTAAATTATGTTTTAGCACATAATTAATTTTAACTTGAAATAATGCTTAATGTAAGCAAAGTCTATGTGTTTGTAACATTCACAACCTTATTTTCTTAAAAGAAAAAATTAGTTATTTCAAATTTTATGGATATATTATTAATTTCTTATAAAAATATATTTAAAAAAATATAAAATTTTTCAAAATTCTTAAAAATACTTCTGGATGACTATATTTTTTCAATATTATAATAAAAATGCCATTTCTTTCATTTACAATATATATAAAAACTTTCAAATCAGTGTATATATCTAAAAATTAGATTTTGTAGGTTCAGTCTTCAGACGACCACATTTTGCATCACTTATTGCTCCCCATAGATCAAAAATGAAGTCATCAGTAAATCCAAATGCTTCCAGATCTGAACTATCAACAGCATTCACAAAGTCGTGTGGATTTGATTTGTCTCTTCCCAATTCCCATATTTGTGTGGCTAAAATAAAAAAATATATATTTCAAATAACAATAAAAAAGTTTTTTGGCAAAATACTTAAAATATAAATGATATATTGTTATATTAATTATATTATTTATCATTTATTTGGAAACAAATTGCTTGATCAATTTGAACACAACACTAAACAAGCAACAGATTATTATCAATATTAAAAAACTCAAATGTTCATATCTATTCATAAACTACAAGTATTTTGCAATTTTTTCACTTATTATTATTGACTGATATAGAATATATTTTTGTAATCCTACCACTTGAGATACATGTATGATCATGAAATGAATATCATATCTGAAAATAATGTTTGTTTGGCTCAACCTCTGGAGAGAAAGGATTTTCTTCAAAATTAAAATCCATCACAAAATGAACATTATTATTATATTAATTTCAAAAACTACTTAGTTACATATGAATAATGAACAGGCTTATTACACACCCAGCCTATTTATTTAACTTATCCCAAATCAATAAAGAAGACAGAAGAAGACTATTCATAAAGTTTTTACTGGACTTTTTTACTATAGTTGAGTTACTATCCTAGTGATCATTTTAGAATCCTGTTATTAATGTATAATGTAATGTTAGCAAATTGTCACCATAGACTCTGTTTTGTATGTCACCCAATTGATAAGGGCTAGTAAGGCTGAAATGCATTTTGGGATAAGTTAATTAAATAGGCTGGGCATTAGTAAGCCTGTTCATTACTCATATGTAACTAAGTAGTTTCTGTAATTATTAAATAATACAGGCAAGAAGCTTTTTTAATGTATTATTATTATATGTTTATAATATTGATATATATTATAGCAGCCTGAAGAGTATAGTTATAAACTATCAAAAGTACTGTACGTGTAATTTTTAAATAAAATGTTGGTTTTAATGCTGTAAAGCAGAATACGTTCTAGTAAATGTTATGACATACCATATCATTATTTGGCATGAGGCGCAATTAACTCTCCAATTTTTATATAATTTTGCATTTATCACATTATCTATATATATATATATTATAAATGGATACGTGTGTCCCTATATTTCACTTTTCCGCCAAAACTACACATCACACATGAATGGTGTTTGTATGTGGTAGTAGCCCCAAGTCTCCATTCGTGCACCAGGGTGGTTGCGTCTCAATAGCTATAAGGGTGCATGAGATATGGGCTTGAAAGTGCTTGAAAGTGGTTCTGTATTTCGAATTTTATGTTCAAATTTGTTCGAATTTAATTCAAACATAAAATTCGAATATTGGTTTGATTATAGAACGATTGTAAACGTTCCAAAAACGTTGAAAATAGTTTGTTTGACTGGATGTGAACAGGAGACGTTCAGAAATAGAATCGGGACCAGGTCTCTAATTAGTCTGGAAACGGGGGCCTAATTCTTGCATTCTGTGAAAATGGGTAAGATTGGCTATAATGTAATTATNTATAGGGGACTTAAGAAATCAATTTAATACATTTGTAAGACAATCTGAGGGGGATAGGAATAGAGAACGAAGCGCACAATACTTCCGGCCAACGGAGCGAACTTTCGACGGAGATCGGCAACCAACTTCCGACTTCCGCAGAGCCAGAGCTCGTGCTCCGACATATAGAAATAATCACCGTTCAAATTTTGTTAATAGGAATAAGGACGAGCCTAATAGAAATCCTCGATATGAAAATACGTGGAGAGGTGTAGTAAACTTTGTGGGTAATCAGAGAAACCCACCCAAATATGAAAAGAAAGGCAAAAATAGTAAGGGAGGATCGAACAGTCGCATAAAAAGAGATCCTTACATATTAATATATGTTAATAATATACCTGTAAAAATGATGGTCAATCTAGAGACTACCATCATAGATAAGGAATTTGTAAAGCGATTAGAGGGAAGAGCCTCCGTAATCCTTGGAGAAAAAGGGAAGTTGGATATTGGTCACGGAAAACCAGTACCGACATTGGGTACCGCTATTCCCCTGTTTAAACTCCGAGGCCATAAGTTTACAAATACTTGCAGGATAGTGCGTTCTGAAATAACAGCGCCGTGCAAGGGAATAATCGGACGGGACATATTACAGCAGGAGCAAATCGAAATAGATAATCATAATGGAGTGATTATACTGCCAAATAAAAAGGAAGTACATTATTGCTCATCTAAGTCCCCAAGAGATAATTATTATAAAAAGCAGTTTGGTAGAGTAGATAGAAATCGAAGGGAAGTCGACGTAAAATATTCAGAAGCTAGTATACTACGAAGTGTGCGGGTGTCACCTCACCGCCGACCCCATTCACAAGCACACATAACTACTCGAGCTACTNTTTAATGTAATATTAAATATATATTTTAAATATGATTGATTTCTTCTAAATTATCAATATTCATACATCAATGCTAAACAATAATGATTTAAAGTATATTCAGTTTTCAACCTGTGGACAAAAAATGTGATAATTTATTCTATTCCAAATGTTATTGTTCTATACAGGATTTAGTATATTAAAATAATTAAAATTAAATTATTTGCAGTTTTAAACAAAAATATTTTGTTTAATTTTATGATTATATTCATAATCAATACTGGCATAAGCTGGAACTAGACTAACTAGAAACACACAAATTATCTTATGTACAGCAAATTACTCTTTAATCAAACTAATGTTTTTGGCTTTATTAATAAGCCTTCATCAGGTTTTTCGAAAAGAAGAGATTCAATTTGGAACAATATTTAAAATTCCGCTTTTTCAGAACAATTTTACATTCTAAAAAAAAATAAATAAATAAATAAATAAAGATAAAAAAGAGAATTGAATTTTAAATATCTGTTGAAAGCTTATTAATAAAGCTGAACACATTAGTTTGATTAATTTAAAGAGTAATTTGCATCTCTCTAGTTATATTCATAATACACAGAAAATTAAAAATAAGTAATGTTCATTTATAGTATTTGAGACATTGAGTTTAATTGTAAATACCCACCAAGTTCTGTATCATTAATTCCCATAAATGATTCCAACAGTCCATTAATTCGATCTAAGGCAGCTTGTACTACATCATCAGGCTGAAATTTAATAAAAATTAGTGCCAAAATTCCATAATAACTAATTTTATACAATATATAAGATTTGTTCAAAAACTTCTAGAAAACAGTCAAAACATTTTAAGGTATAGAGAAATTTATTTAATATTTTTCAAAGAAATTATCCTGACCCCAATACATGATTCTCCAATTAGAAAAAAGCTCGTTTCCAATGATATCTGCAATTCAGAAACCATTTAGAAAAATAAGCTATGGATTGCAAAAGTTCTTACAATTTCTCTTGCATGAGTTCTTATGGCGCAAACAGTTTTTATTTTAAAGTCAGAAACTGCTATTCTCAAGAAACCAATTCTTTAATATCCAGTAGGGATATTAAAGAATTTATTTTTTATTTTCAGCCTACTTAATTTTTGCAAAAAAATTTTATGTTTCCAGCTAATTTAATCAACTTTATAAATTATTTAAATTTTAGTTTTTCAAGTAAATGTCATTCAGTTATTGTTTACATTGGAACTGCTATTTACTGCAACCAACCTATTCCTCCAATTTGACTCCTAACAGTTTTTCCCCTAACCAAATTTGAAAAAAAAAATTACAAATGGTCTACCATAGTGTTGATTGGGCTAATTTAAGTCACTGTAGTTTGAGCTATTTTAAGTCCAATTAATAATGAAAGACAATTGAAATCTGGCAGATCATTTGGTAGAAATTAATTTTATGAAATAACCTTCCAGATTATTTATCAAGCTATTTTAAGACTAATTAATAACAAAACTCTAAAAAATTGGCTAAATTGGCGAAATTTGGCTAGAGTATGCAGTAAAACTTCATGATTAAAAATGAATTAATTTCTACTTATTAAATTTAAATTTAGACTATTCTGGGAGAAAAGAATCAGTCCAGAGCAGGACTCAAACATATAATTTCTGCTTATCATACATATACGTTGCCAGTTACATTACCCAGACCTCCATTTGATAAGCTGGCAATGCATCTGCATAGAAAGCAGGTAAGTATTCAAAATTAATTAATTTAGATATAACCACACTGGCCACTCAAGGTGCTGACTACAAATGATTTAGTATACAAGACTATCTAAGTATCTAAAACGAGAGTATCTAAGATTCTCAACTGATTTATGCTTTGCCCTAGAATGGTGTGTGTGTGTGTGTGTGTGTGTGTGTGTGTGTGTGTGTGTGTGTGTGTGTGTATTGTTAGTTTGTGTACATATATATATATGCAAACTAACTTAAACAACTAAATAGCTCCCAAAGCTATTAATTAATTAATGTCTTTGGGAGCAAAGATCAGATGAAGATCTGAGTAGTGTAACTGGCAATGCATGGTAAATAGGAGTTGCAGGTTCAAATCTCATTCTGGGACAATTCTTTTTCCAGAATATTCTAAATTAAAATTAATTTATTTCTAATTATTAAATTTATCATGAGATGGTGGGTTAACCATCTACCTCTAGCCAAACTGTTTTGTATCTAGTTATTTATTAGCCTTAATATATCTCAATAAATAATTTGCCAGATTGTTTGATAATACAAGTGTATTGAAAAGTTGTTTATATTAACTAATTTTTCTAAAATGTTTCCTGAATTGCAGAAATCATTTACAAGTTGTGTATTGAAGCTCAGGATGATTTCTTTGAAAAATATTAAATAACTTTATATCCTAAAATGTTCCTATATCCATTCCTGAAACTTTTTGAATATACCTTGTATCAATATATGTAATATACAGGGTATATTCAAAAAGTACAGGGTGTATGAAAAAGAATGACCTGATTTTAAAACTTTATATTTATTGATGGAAACATACTATAAAACAGGGACAAAATGCAAATACTCACAAAATCTTAATGTTTCAGCTATGTTATTACAAATACTCTGTGTCCACCAGTAGCTGCATGTACAACATCTAGATCAGCAGTTCTTAACCTGGGGTGCGTGCACCCCTGGGGATGCAAGAGAGCATTTCCAGGGTTGCAAGAAAAATTAAAAAAAAAAAATTACAAACAAGGCAACTGTGTTCTCTACAAACCTTGGTACCCAGCAACATGGCACCCCACTTCTTCATTCTCTACCATCTCACTTCTACACTCTCTATTCTACCATCTCTCAGCACTATGTACTGAGAGATGGTCGTCAGTACATGCAGTTAATGTAGTCACATTGTTAAGTGCAGTATAGAAACTAGTTGAGACATGTTCACATACCTTGAATACAGCACTTTTGCACATCAAAACAAAAGCCAGAAATCACTTAAATGCATCTAATGACTTATGTGTGGCTCTTTCAAAAAAAGAGCCTCATTTTAATAGAATTATTATGAATAAACAACAACAACCTATCCATTAAAATTTAAATATTGTTTTTTATGTTATATAGTAATATATATTGTAAAGAAACATGGCATTTGTTTATGCAATAAATGTTTTTTCTTAAATAAAAAATATACACAAATTTTTTAAAGGAGTGCAAGAGCTTATTTCATATTCAAGTGGGTGCTGACCACTAAAAAGGTTAAAAACCGCTGATCTAGATGATAGCTAAATGCTGCAGACTTAGTTTTTTCCACAACTTGAGGAGAACTCTAATGATTTCATATTCCAACAGGATAGAGCCCCACCACACTGGCACAACAGTGTATGACAATTTCTCAATGACACACTGCCTCAACACTGGATAGGGTGCATAGGACCCTGAGACACTGCCCTACATTCTTGACCTCCAAGATCTCCAGACATGACTCCATGTGATTTTTTTTTCTTGTGGAGATAAGAAGGAAAGAGTTTTCGTCCCTCCTTTAGCTTGTGACACAGATGAGCTAAAAAACAGAATAAGAGCTGACGTGACTTGTGTCAACATAGATAGCTAAATTTGTCATATACTCTATCATCTAGATGTTGTCTATGTGGCTACTGGTGGACACAAAGTATTTGTAATAACATAGCTGAAATTTTAAGATTTTGTAAGTATTTTGTGTTTTGTCCCTATTTTGTAGTATGTTTCCATCAACAAATATAAAGTTTTAAAATCAGGTCATTCTTTTTGATACACCATGTATATTTTAAAGCTTTTAATTTTTGAAAGTTAAAAAGATGATAATAAATAAACAAATAATTTTTTAAGGAATCACCACTTAAGAAATAAGTGACATGCATATGAGCTGTTTATTTTGAAAGTGATGCAAGTCCATTTTTCTTTGTTTCAAAATATTTAAGGGTTTGTGAAAGGTGAGAATTTAAAAAATTGGTAAGCACTAATAGACAATGTATGTATTTTATGATACCAGATATTTTAAGTTAAATTTATAATCCAATAATGTTTATCAACATTGGCTGAAGAAATTGAAAATTTTGTTACATCCAAATGGACTTATCTCATTTCAAAATTAATGAATTATTGTAAACATTAATTAAACAAATAGTATTTCAATTCAGTCATCCTTATTTTTAACAACAACAACAAAATATTATGATAGTTTATTTAAATATTTAATCATTTGATGAAAAATAAAAGTAAAACAAAATAAATTCATCCTGTCCTTACAATTTTCTAATGTAAATGGCCTAGGCTTTTCATACAAAGAAGGCAATTTTATATTTCTGAAATTATTTGGTCTTCCTCAGTGTAATTATAAATTGAAAATTTCAAATACCTGTTACACTGCTTTATGCACACTTTTTGAACTGAATAGAAAATACCTGAGTTTCACAAAAGTTTTAGGTTTTTAGGTTTTAACTTTTAGTGTTGTCAGTATTACTAAATTTTACCAAAATAAATTATACTGTAAAATATTTAGCTATTGCAATAATTTTCGTCCAAAATGGACTTGCACCACTTTCAAAATAAACATATTTGCAATACCAATAATCATCAGAACTTCCATTGTCAAAATGTGAAGAATTTTGAATTATTTTGACTATAGATTGTTTACAGATAAAAAGATCACACTAAATTTCATCTATTGTCATTATAACCTTTATTTTCAAAAATGGACTTGCTCCACTTTCAAAATAAACAGCTCATATAAATACAAAGTATATTCTGAAGTAGTGAACTCTATGATACACTACTGAGTTATGTTGCTTTGTTTGTTTAAAGCTTGATTTATGTTTATTATAATATACTATGTACACAAATTTTGTTCAAATCTTTATGTTGTTGTCACCTCATAGTTTATCATCCATAAAAATTTGGAATTCAAAGAGCTGCTATAAAATTTATTAGTTTTCCAGAGAAAATTTTTTGTTAAAATAGAGGATAGAATTTCGATTTTAAAACATATGTATAATAATTTCAAAAGTAAAAATGATTTTAGGAAGTTTGCAACAGGATAATTTCAAGAAATCTTTTAGCACAGAAGAAAATTATTATAAAATCATTAAACTGCATTATACAAGAACTGTTAAACTTTTTGACTTTGTATTAAAAGTGAATATAAAAAATATTTGAAGATAAATTTTTTAAACTGGATTATTTTAATCAATTAGCAACTTTTCTGTTCATTAAAATAAGACACTACAGCGTTTTTTACATTTTTATTTTATTTATTTAAATAAAAGATTCTCTCTCTTTTGAAATAATTTATATAAAAATGAACACAAATATTTATAGTACTATCTTTATCTTCTGAATTTTATATTTAAAAAAATCATTTTAAATGTAATATTAATCCATAGTTTAACAAACATTGATGGCTACTGAGTATGGTATTTTGTTTAAGCATTTCAACCAGCATATAACTTCTACAGAGATATAAATCATAAAAATTTCTTGATTATATTTTATCAAATTATTTTTTAAAGTTAAATATTCTAATATCTGAGTTTAATAGTACTTACTGCTTCTTCAATTGTTGCTGGACCTTTGGCACGTAATCGTAATGTTTCTTTGCCTGTTCCATAGCCTGCCTTTTTACCTCCAGGTCCACCACGTGGTCCTATGTGTGCTAAAAATATTAAATAAGAAGAGTTCTTGAAATAAATATTTCAGACAAATTATGTATTA